AATCTCCTCTAGGACTTTGTTGGTACTATGTGTAGGTAAGGTTGAGACATACACGTATAAAGTAATCATAGTATAACAGTCAAGTCGAGCTATACTAATTATAAGTGACTAATCAAGTGAAATACAAAGTCAGGAACTTAGTCCCTAACCAAGTATCAGAAGGGCATAGTATTTACGGGGTAGTCGGTAGGCTAATCCTATAGAAAACTTAGTTAAGTAAGCTAATGCAGTGGTAGGCCTATATCCAACTATTCTTTAAGTTAGTGAAAAACACATAGAAGGGGGTTGAATATGTGTGTGTGAGTACGAAGAAATTTTAAAACCATTTTCGCAAGAGTAATGTTCTTCGTCCAATGCACTTTTAAATACTAGACGGTTATGCATAATTTTCTTAACACAAGGTCACTACGTCTAAACAATTTATTGATTGCTGAAGGAAAATGTTTCATATAACAGTAATGATTAAGGTTCTTGCATCTTCTTTTCAAGATAGTTTCATTTAAGAATAAGCAGTAGATAAAACTTTTTAGTGTAATATATTTGTTAAACAAAATTAAGAGGAGTTTGCGTCTAAAATATAAATAAAACACTACAATCATTTTTATACTAGTTCGCTCAACTGAGCTACGTCCAGTCTCCTTCAACTGAAGAGTTCCACTAAATATGCAATTAAGTACAAAAGTATTGTCGATGACTTCTGGCCTGTTGACTTCACTCATCAACACTAGTATCTTCTTATCAGCCTCTTTAGGCTAGCATTGAGTATTATGGACCATCCAGGTCAGAACCACTACTGGTCCAAGTATTCTCGACCTCTCCAGGCCTTGAGTATTGTAGACCATCCCGGTCACGGCCACTCCTGGTCACGAGTATTCTCAACCACTCCTGGTTGGCTAGCTTCACTCACCAACTCTAATATTCTTAAACCACTTTTGATTCCCCAAGTATTCTCGATTACTTCTGGCCTGCCAGCTTCACTCACCAGCGCTAGTATTCTTTAATCAGCCTCTTCAAACTCGTAGTGAGTATTCTTTGACAAGCCTCTCCAGGCTTTTACAAGTATTCTTTCAGGCTTTACACATGATAGATTTGTGCTTTGGTGTTGAGTGTATGGTTTACTCTCATAGAGATGATACATAGATTTCTACACCCACTAAGGTATGCAACCTCAGTCTTTACAAAGATTGAGTGTTTGGTTTACTCTCATGAAGATGATACTTAAGTTTCTACACTCACTAAGGTTTTGTTCCTAAGATGTACACGTTTGGAACTTAGTTTACAGAGAAGAATACACTATAGTACATTTGACTCTATACGCTCTGTCTTTGACTTTGTTGCTATATGGGCTTGATATCACTTTTTTGTTCGTATTTGAAAAGCCCAACTCTTTAAGGTTTGAAGTAGTGATATATATATGTTCTCATAGAAATTTGCCCGTTGCAAGTGTCCGTTGAAGCTGATATAGTCGTTCATGACTAGTTTGATCCTTTCATTTAATGCACTTGATATTGTATTAAATGTTACTTCCTATTTATGAACAATGCGTATACTATTTTGGATCTGCAGATTCTAATTTTTCTAGAATCCTAGGGATTAGCTGCAGAGACGTTATCTTTATCAGAAAAGTAGGTGTCCTTTTTCTGACACACTTAGGATTTGACGTTTTGTACTTACTTTCCTTCTTTCTTCTTGTCTTCTCACAATTTCAATGACTTCGTGTGTTCTCCTATGAGTGTGGACGATATTCAAATTGTCCTTTGAAAGTTGATTCCTCAAGTGATTGCGTGACAATTTTCTTCCGCGTCTAGTAGTCTATGTGTAGCTCAAGCCCTGACCTTTGTCTGAGCATTTTTCATTAACGCATTGAATTTTCCTTTCGTTTAGTCAGCTTGTATATGGTCAGACTTTCAAATGATCTTTGACCAACCTTCGTCTAAGTCTTTATGTTTCGCTTTAGGTTGTGCTTGACGCGCTTTTGTCTTGTTCTTGATTTGACTTGTTGGATACTTGAGTTAGCCTTTTGTCTATCGTCTTGTATCGTCTGATGCATATGCTTGTTCTTCATTTTACCTATTCTTATGTTTTTCTAAAACACTAACACACTTGTTAGAGATAACAACATGTATTATATTTGTCTCACTCAAAACCTTGTTAGGAGTTTTTTCGTCTAACTTAACAATTCTACCTTGACACTAGTGCTAGATTTTCTTGTTTAAGTGACGACATTTAAGAAACTAAGTTGTTGTGTTGTGGATTTATATCCAATTTGTTGTTGATCTAGTAAGTCCAAAAAGATCATCCTATGTTATAGGTCTGATAAGATCAAACCACTTAAACTACTCATCTTATCTTGTACGAGATCTCCTAATTAAAATATGTGATAACACATATATTTGTTGTGTTGAGCATATGATGTATTGATTTAATTATGTTGTTCATATGTTGGGTTAATTTGTGATGAAATGTGTTGGCTTGTTGAAAACTGAGTTATTATACTCATATGAGTTGTTGTACTATGATGTCTTGTGTTGATAGTTTCAGAGATGAGATGATGATGTATTTTAAGTTGTTAACGTTCTTATGTTGTATTTACATTGTTCTTTTAACTTTAACTTACCCTTATATATTTTCATATGATTTGGACTATGATGATTATACATAGTATGAGAACAAGGTAAGGACAAATATGAAGTTTTTGTAGTGGAGACCATGCACTAATGCTAAAGTTGGACGTCTTTTGATGACTACCTTTAATGGTGGTTTTGTATAGCTTTATATGAGTTGCTTAACGAACAACTTAAGTTGTATAGTTTATATTTACAATATTACTATATTTATATTACACATAGTTATGTAGTGATTTATCTTTATATGTATATTTTTAAGTTAGTTATTTTCTACTATTAATAACTGTAAATTTAATGTAGAGATTATAACATATCGTTATATTCAATGCTATTATTAGTATATATATTAACAATATTTATGATGGTTAAAAAACTATTTTACTTCAAACAAAGATTACAATCCTAGTTACTTATTTAATTTTTCTTCGCATCATCATAGAACTCTTCCCCTTTATGTTAACAAAAATAATAAAATAATTAACCCTCTCTTTAAATAAATTTCGAGATCCGGCCCATTATGATATTTCTCCAACTAGAAAACGTCTCCCGTGCATAACCAAAATAAATTTTCAGTACAAATTAAACAGTATCAAAAAAATTTAACTTACAAAAGATAGGCAGCATAAATTTATGACGAGTTTAACTTTATTTAAAAGCTAATTAATTAAGAATTAATTTAGATATATGAATAAATATTATAAAAAACTAATAATTAAATTATATATTATATTATTATTATACATAATAATTATTAAATTGAGAATATATATATATAT